TTTTTTTTTATTACTGCCTCAATTTCATTGCTTGTTATTCTTTTTAAAAGTAGGAAAATGACGGGGCTGGGGATTTAGCTCAGCTGCAAAAGCGCCTGCCTGGCAAGCACAAGGTCGTGAGTTCAGTTCCCGGTACCGGAGAAAAACCAAAAAAAAAAGGGGGGTAGGAAAATGTATTGGGGAAAAGGCATATGGTATAGAAAAGTGGAATAGGAATAGCTCCTGAGAGACCAGAGGGGTCCCAAATGGGCTGCCCCATTGCTTGTTATTTGATTGTTGGGAGCTTTTATGTCTTATTGGTTCAGTTTCCATGTGTATTGGTTGGTATCTGTGACAGTTTGCAACTCAAATGTTCATAAGCCAGGGATCATAAGTATGTGCCACCACACCTGGAAGTTCCTTGATTTAAAAAAAAAACTGGGGGTGGGGGGCAGTTTATGACAAGGTCTTAGTTTTTAGTTCAGGGTGACCTTGAATGCACTATGTTGCCCAGGTTGGCCTTAAACTCATAACGGTCTTCCTACATCAGCTTCCCAACTGCTAAGATACAAGTGTGCGTCACCACACCCAACCCTAATTCCTTGATTTCTTCTGTCCCCTTTGAGTGCTCAGGAGTGTGTTATTTAATATCTGAGTGTTTGCAAAATTTCTTTGGCTAAAATAGAATGAATAATAGTGCCATCAACTTACCTAAATATAAAACATTAAATTTTCTAATAAAAATGTAAAAACCTGTGGTTCATGATCTTATTTGACTGCATAACCTCGTCATCTAATTTTGGAGTCATATGAGACTACTAAAACCAAAGCAGGTGTATATTTATTGAGGTAGGTGTTTGAACATAGGGCCTCATGCATGCTAAGCAAAAGACCAAAGAAAGTCTTCTGATTACTGATCTGCCCAAACCTAATAAGCAACTATGAAAAAAAACAAAAAGAAAAATTGTAAGAACTGATTTTTAAAAAAAATAATTGAACCCATGGTAATATATAGTTGTAAATGTGCTTAACAAATTTAAGAGCCTGGGAAATTTTAAGAGACAAATTAGATTAGAAGTTTTCTTTAGATATTTTAAAGGGATCCTTTTGAAAGGGGCAGTACTGGGAAATGAACCAAGGACCTTCATACTGAGCTACATCCCCAGCCTTTTAAAAAATATTTTTGTCTTGAGACAGTTTTGCTACCTTCCCTAAATCTGGGCTCAGTCCTCCTGCCTTAGCCTCACAGAGTGATGCTGGGATTATAGGCCACCACATTCATCTTAAAAGTATCCCTATCATACAACCATTGTTAATTTCCTATCATCATTTTTTGGAATTCTGTATAATTTCTATTGTTTTGGTGTTTTGTTTTTGTTATTTTGTTTTTGTTCTTTTCTCTTTTCAAAAAAAAGTATTCCTGTTATTTTAATTTTGGCTAGTACTACCTGAAAGTAGAAAGGCTTCTTGAAGGAATTGTTTTCTCATATATATTTAGAAGAATCTGTTGTGTTAAAACAAAATAGAAATTTAAAAAGAATCAACCCTTTGATGAAAAGGAAAAGGAGATTACACATCTACAAATAAAACCAAAGCAATATGTAACAAAAGAAAATTTCACAAATAATTCAGTTTCAAAAGACTTAATAACCATTTTGTATCTAATTGGGAGTTCTTACTCCATAGAGGAAGATAAATACATTATATATAAACCGAGAATGCAAAAAAAGGTATTTGAGTAATACTACAAATTCTTTAAAAGTAATAACAAAAGATCAAAACATAAACACGAGAAGTTATTATAAAGAAAACATGCCAGAACAAAAAACTCACATAAAGAGAACTCAAATCACTAATAATTGGGTGAACACATTTCAGAAATGAATGAATAAGGACTACACTATGTTAGTAAATAAAACAAATGTTAATATAAGGATAAATACTGGCAATATCTAACAGAAATGTGTATATTACCCATGATTGAAGAATTGTATTTCTAAATACAGAATGGTCATTACACAGATTTTAGAAATATTGAATCCCTTTAATTATATCTTATTAAATCCACAGGTTTTTCCACTGAAAATCAGAAATAAAGAGCCTTCATGTACTGATTTCATTCAAATGACTTCCCACTGGTAGACATTTTCTGATGTCAACTAAGATACACTAAAGGCATTACTACATTCCTTACATTCTAGTGCTTCTCACCCCTATGAATTCTCTGATGTTTTGAAAAGGATGAACTATGTCTAAAAGCCTTCCCACATGCCTTGCATTCATAGGGCTTTTCTCCAGTATGAGTTCATTGATGTTCCCTAACAGCTGAACTTTGTCTAAAGGCTTTCCCACATATCTTGCATAATAGGGTTTCTCACCACTGTGGATTCTCTGACGTTGAATAAGGAATGATGTAAGTCTAAAGAACCTCCCACACTCCTTACATTCATAAGGTTTCTGACCACTGTGAATTCGTTGATGTTGGGTAAGTTCACTACCTAGTCCAAATGCTTTTTCACATTCTTTACATTTATAGGGTTTCTCACCAGTATGGATTCTCTGATGTCTAGTGAGAGATGAACTGTTTCTAAAGACCTTTCTACATGATGTGCATTCATAGGGTTTCTTATTTGTATGAGTTATCTGATGTCGAGCAAGTTGTCTACTGACACCAAACGCCTTCCCACATTCCTTACATATATAAGGTTTCTCACCAGTGTGAATTTGCTCATGTTCAATGAGCTGTGACTTAATTCTAAAAACCTTTTCACAGTGTATACATTTATATGGTTTCTCACCAGTATGAATTCTGTGATGTTCAGTACGCTGTGAATAAAACCTGAAGTCTCTGTCACATTTCATACATCGGTAAGGTTTGTCTTCACTATGAATTTTATGATGTCTTATAAGTTGTGCATATATTCTGAAGGATTTCCCACAGAACATACATTTATAGGGCCTCCCACCATCGTGAATTATTTGAAAAGGAGCAATTTCTGCAGCTCTTAAGATCTTCCCATATTCTTTACATGTATAGTACTTACCATGACTATGAATGTTCTGGTATACATTAACATCTTCATAAATAATAAATGTATCACCACATTTCATGTATTTACAAGGTTTCACCCCAGTACAAATATTCAGTTGTAGTGTATGTGAATTATCTAGCCCAAAGGATTTCCAACATTCATTACATTCATGGGTTTTCTCATCAGTTAGTATTCTCTGATATTCATCACAGTCTGAATCACAATCAAAGACTTTCCCATATTCTTTATAGTCACAGGGCTTCTTACTGGCATCCATTCTCCATGGTAATGTGACACATTTATGATGTTTATAATTGGGTTCTTTGTCTGAGATTATTTTTATTTGATTGAAACATCCCCCTTCAAGTCCATGTACTTCAATCTTGCTTTTGCTTTGCCAGTCATTTCTGAAAATGGAGCTGTCAAGGTCAGCAAGTCTGGTGCTTTCCATTACTTCCAAATGAGAACCACTACTGTCAGTAATGCCCTTTCCTATAAATGAACTCTCTGTCTCACACCTCATCTCCAAATCTGAAAAGAAGGAAAAAATAATTTCTTTTTTCACATGTCATAAAAATGCAGAACAGCTGGACCTGGTGGTGCACGCCTGTAATCCCAGCACTTGGGAGGCTGAGGCAGGAGGATTGTTGCAAGTTCAAGGCCAGCCTGGGCTACATAAGTGAGTTCAAAGCTAGGCTGAACTGCATAGTGAGACCCTGTCTCAAAAAGACCAAAAAGCAGAACAAAGTAATTTATCTTAACTGCATGATTAAAACAGTGTTATGAAATTTGGAGAAAGATAAAGATAGCTCAGGAAATAACAATGTAACATAGGATTTTGAGATTTATAATAAGGAAAACATTATCAAATCAGTAGATTTGAAACTTAGTTATGGACCATCATGTTGTAAGCTTACTGACAAATACTGAGGTTCTGAAACAAATCAAGATAAGCTAAATTAAAAATCTGTATATATAGAACTGGACATTAGTGTCTGGTAGAGGTACGGCTAATGCAGATCAAAATCTGATCATACATAGTAATAATTTTATTATTTTTTTATTTTTTTATCTTGTGGTGCTAGAAATGAACCCTGGGCATCATGCATGCTAGACTGTGACTCTAGTACGGAGTTATATCCCCAACCCATTTTTTTTCTTTTTTCCTATGAAATAAAAACCCCTTACCCATAGATAAATGATGCTGCTCATAAGAGCTCATTTTTATCCACTTTCCCTCGTGTTCAAATTATCGCACTGTGCAACCATGTCAGTGTAGAATATGAAGGATTACTCAGAAACAAGACTCAGTTCAGTCACTGAGAGGGCCCAGAGGGGCTATCTTAACCAAGAGCGCCCACATTAGGGAGACTCGCAGGAGAAGTCCCAAGAAAAGAACTCTTCCCCCTTTTATTTAGAATATGAGTGTATGTGAAAAAAGCAGTTTGGGCAAGGAGCTGCCTCAAGGATAGGAAGTTTTCCTTGGAGGAAAGGTGAAGGACAACAGTCAAACACAAAACGTTTCACTAATCTGAACTTCATGCTGTTTAACCATTTACTTCTCACAGAACCTGTGTGCTTTTGCTGTGCAATTTAACCATTCACTTCTTGGTCAACTCCCCTATATCTAATCTCATTTAGAGCTACTCACAGGATGTTTCATTTTTCATAAATAAGCTGTACAATACAATACAATACAATATATTGTATCCAGTTCCTTTTCATTGTTCATGTCTAGAAGTTAACTCTCAACCCTAAAGTCAGTTCATTTTTATATCTATTCTAATAACTGGTTCCCTGCCCATGTAATATCCATTGTTCAACTGTGTATTAATAATTTTTTCTTTCGTTATACCATTAATTTCCTTATTCCTTAAAATCTGCAAGGACTTTTTAGCACTCTGGAGGCTGAGGCTGAAGGATTGTAAGTTTGAACCTAATCTGGGCAACTTAGGAACTTAACCGAGACCCTATCTCAAATAAAAGTACAAAGAAGGGCTGGGGACATAGCTCCTTGGGAAAGCTGTAGGTACTATCCAATCCCCCATACTTCCAAGACAAAGAAGCAAAACAACTAAACAAAAAACTTGAAGGACAAATGTTTTCCAACTATACACAAGAATATATTGTATCCTGTTGTCCTTACACATACCTAGCTATTGATTGATCAACTGAGAGATACATAGTTATTCTTTATTTATTTGTTACATAGGTCAGCTACCACTATGTAAATTCATGAGATCAGAGTCAGTTTTTGCTCCTTCTTGTTCACCACTATGACCAGACTGGCACAAGTGTAGATAGTACACTCATAAATTTACCCAGTGACACCAAGTTGCTGTAGTTCTCCATCATCACATCCCAGTATAAATTCCTCTGAGCAGAATCCAGATATTCCCAACCTTCCTGAGAGAAGCTGATGACTATATCCTCAAATGTCACCAACTCCTGAAATAATAAACTCAGGTAAGACTGCAGGTATTACAGGTAGAGTTGAGGAAACATTTTTGAGGAAGAAATAAATTTTAAAATTGCATTATGAAGAGGGAACAAATAAACAAGTAGCCTGGGAGATAGAAGCCTATGCCATGAGAAGTAAGGAAATGAGGACTGCCAAATTAGACTCTATATGTCTTTAAGGAATCGTAAAGCATGGTGGCTTATCCAGTAATCTCAAGTGCAAGGTCATGAGTTCGGTTCCCGGTACGGGGGGAAAACAAAAAGCAGTAATCTCAGAGACTTGAGACAGGATCACAATTTCAAGCCCAGCTTGGGTAACCTAGTAATTAAGCAGCACCTGGTCTCAAAATTTAAAAAGGGCTAGTAGGCATATTGCTCAGTGACAAGGGCCTGAGTTTAAACCCTAATCCTGAAAAAAAGAGAAAGGAATCCACTCATTTTGGAGAACTCTTCCTGTGTACTATAACACTGTGTAACTAGCCCAAGATGGAAATTAATAATCTGCTCACAAATTAAAAGAAGTAGTGCAGCACGTGCTATATGCTGCCTCATCAATTATTAATAAAGCTTTCTATACCCTCATTGCCCTGTTCAAGAAAAATATCTCTTAAAACACAGAGTATGAACAAAATTTTAAAATTTCTTGTAGCCAAGTTTATCACTGTGTATCATTTTACATTTTAAGTGAGAATTACTACTTCTGATGACAGTATTTAGTAAATACTTTTTGTGGTTATGGAGTAGTCTATTTGTTGAAAACATATCCACCTTACACTTAAGTCATAAATCTTTGACAAAGTCTTCTCAAATGCTGGGAGCCTAGAATCATTTTGTATGAATTGAGGCAGGTCAGCTCAGGTCTATGGAGAATCCCAGAGTTTAACCATATGGCATTAAATAGATCCATCTGCTCTTATTCTCTACATCAGAATATGACAGGAGCGGGGCTGGAGATTTAGCTCAGTGGCACAGCGCCTGCCCGGCAAGTGCAAGGTCGTGAGTTCGATTTCTAGTACCAGAAAAAAAAGAAAAGAAAAATCTTACCAGAATATGACAGGAAAAAATATAGGGCTTCCATTCCTATTCCATTTAATCTTGACAAAATATAGGAGTACTGAATATTTTAATTATTATTGAGTACTGAATATTGACTATTATTTGGAGAAGACACACACACAGAAGGGATAGTTTCCTATTTGACTCTAGCTCTCACTAGAAAATGAAAAAAGAATGAGTATGGGTTTATTAGAATTGTATAGGAACATTCAGAAAAAGGAAATATTTAGAAAAAAAATAGAAAAAATACATGGTCCATGATTATAACTGTTAAGAATTAATTGGTTGGGAAATTCCACTCTGGCAAAACAGTGTAAGGAGGTCCATGGACATGCTCCACAGTGAAACTAATAAAAAATTATAACAAAAAAATTAAGGTCTCCAGAAATGGCCCTAGGAACATACAGCCAATAAAACATTATAAAGTCTACACTGTATGAACCAAACTTATGCTCTCCTTTGTCCATCTGACCTTACTGAGAAAAAGACTATAGTCTAGACTGATACAGCCAAGGACACGGATTTCCTCACTGCTTCTGAACCCCTGCTCCTAATCACCTGGTTTTCTTCCTACAGTGGGTGGAACATCATGATTTCTCATCCTTCCCTGGTTTCCTGGGTTGTGCAGCCAAGGGATGGAGTGGGGGTTCCCTTCTGCACAGCCTCCATACACAAAATGTAGGCTTTACATCGGTGCAGAATTTCTGAGAATGCTACAGTTCCAGTTGCTTTGCCTTGGCTCACTGAGCAGGAGTTGCATGTTGCATTCCAAGACAGGCAAGATCTAGAGGGCTGGAATCCACCATCTACCAAGCACTGGGTTCTCAGAGCAGGAGAATCACTCAGAAAAGTGCATGCCATTGTCCCTGCTCTACACAAAAGCTGTAGTTGAGAAATTTGTACAGAAACAGAAAGCTCAAATGACTTCACTTGCAACAGAATGTGGAGAGCTTTAAGTCTAAGAATACTATCAAAAATAGTGAAAACTTGGGTGAAAGAAAATTTAGACTGATTAATTGGAGTTATACATGTATCCTACATTACAGGCTGGCTAGTTTGCCCAAAACCGGAACACCTAGGAAGACATTTTCTACTATGAGAACAAGCCTGAAACACTGACCTTAGGAAGTATCACTTCAATTTGCATTAGAATGTGAAACAGTACATGCACCTGGACACTACTAAAAACTATAATGCTGTGAGTCACAATTGGTGGAGTTTAACAGCTGAGTGTGTTCAGGGAGAAGAAAGACAGCCCTGTCCAAAACAAATTCATCTGAGGGTGACTTAGTAACGGCCATGATACACTCCCTCAGGGATAGCATCAGAAGTTTTGCACTATGGTGGGTATAGACTTCACTAAAATATACAGCCAAGATACACTAAACAAGAACCCAGTCAAAGTAACCATTCTTTGGGTAAAGGGATGGGAACAAAAGTACCAGAGTTGCAATAATTATCAAAAACCCCCACTTTCTACCAAAAAAATTGGAAGACAAAGAAACAGGAAAGTACTGGAAAATAAAGCAGGCAACAGAAACGACTTGTGAAAGTGACCAGACTTGACAGGCAAAGAGCAAAGTAGTCAAAGGCTGCAGGATGCAGCCTAGGGTTTGATCCCTGATACTGCAAAAAACAATCAGTTAAAATAACCATCTTGAAATTTTGGAATTAAAATATGTAACTGAGATGAAGGTTTCCCTGAAGGAACTCAACAGTAGATACAAACTGGCAGAAAAATCAGCAACCTGGGAGATGGATTATACAGATGTTATAAAAAGAACAAAGAAAAAGTGGAAAAACAACAACCTCAGAAAAACATGCAACATCATTGAGCACACCACAATATGTGTAATAGTAATACCAGAAGAGGAAGAAAAAGCAATAAAAAGTTTCAAAGGAATAGTGGGCAAAAATGCCCAAATTTATTGAAAAAATATTAATGTATACATCCAGAAATCTAAATGAACAAGCTGGATAGATGTGCCATTAGAAGCATTTATAGGGGTTGGGGATGTGGGTCCCATACTACCCCTGGTAGAGCACATGCTTTATCTACATGGATTCTAGGTTCAATCGCCAGCACAAGACAAACAAAACCAGCAACAACAAAAAACTCACATGGTATAAGTGTCTTTTTCCACAGCTACTTTAAAAATGAGTATTTTGGAACAGTGTGTATGTAACATTTGGACCTATGACATACTGACATGTAATCTATTTGCCAACAACAAAAGGGGTAAATGGAAGCAAAGCTTATTGGGGTAAGGAAATGAATTCAGTTGGTAACTCAGATTCACAGGATCAAATGAAGAGGACCAAAAATGAGAACAGTAATATGAAAATTACATTTTTTTCATACAGCTTTCAATAAAAACATGGATTTATATACAATAAAAATTACAATGGTGAACAGCTCTTTGAAACATTTAGATGTAATATGAATTACAGTATTACTACAAAAGGGATAAATAGAAAGTTACACGGGAGTTAACATTTCTGTATCTCACTTTAATTACGCTAATATACTTCAAAAGGTGTTTTTGATAAGATGTACATGCTAAATTGCCTGGGCAGGGCTCAGATTTGCAATCCTCATGCCTCAGCCTCCTAGAGTGTTGGGATTATAGGCACCACACTGGGCTTCATGACTTCCTAGCTGATCACTATTTCTCCATAGCAAGATCCCATTGGCTATCAGATGTGAGGACAGAAGAATCCAGGGAAATATGTTCTAAGAAAACATGGAATCCACAGTTGGGCCTAATAGGCATTTCCGTTAATGCTCTAGGCTGGATACTAAGGACAAAGTGCCCAGAAAACAATACAGCATAATTAGGTGTAGGAGTACTTCAATAGTAACCAGCCTTCACAAGCAGGGATATGTTCTTAAAGAAGAACATATCTTAAGTTTTATATAGAGAGGTACTATATACATGTAAATATTGTATATCATGAGATATACACAGAACAAACTTGGGGAAATGAGGTTACACACGCATTGAAAAGTGTGGGTGGTCAGTCGGTCAGTGTCAAAACACATCAATGTACTGTATACCAGGGTCACAATAGGCTCCACCCCTATTCAAAAGCCCTAAAAGCCCCAGGGGACTCCTGTCAAGACACACATTAAGCCTTTCCCACCACCTCGTACATACAGTACGTACATTCCGGAACAACGCTCTCACAACCAACACTAACAACCATCGTCGTCCGCAGCTCATGCATGCAGAGGCATGAGGCACAAATTTCCGCATTGCCTATCAGCGCCGCGAGAGCCTGGGACCTCTAACCGCGAGTCCTTCACGCAGCCTGACCTGGATCACCTTAACTTACCAACCGCAGCACATCACCACCCTGGAAGGGGAACCAAAACTTGAAGTTCATTCGTGGCCCTGGGCCTTGTAGGAAACGTAGTCCAGCTCCGAAAATGTCCAGGTATCATGATCACACGTTCTGCACCAAGCAGAGGAACACTTACGACTTGTCGGGTGCGGAGATTGCGGATTGTGAGCCAAAGCGAGCAAAGTAAGGTTGAGAAGGTTGAAAACCAGGCCTGCAAGTAATCGGAAGCCCCTGCCCGTGAGGGCGGAAGAGGGAGCCGGAAGGCCATGCCGGACTGGCGGAAGAAGCGACCGAAAACCTAGTTCACCCCTTTGGCCCCCCACCTGGTAGAGCACTGAAAACGCAGACCTGAAAGGACTGAGGGAAAGAAAGGGAATTCCGGATACGGCGACTAAGAAACTCAGACCCCAGCCTGGGGGAGTCCGGAAAAGGAACCGGAAGTCTGGGTGGGTTGAGAAGCGTAATGGTGTTCAACCCTGGGAAGCCCGTAGGGAGAACTTGGAGCCTGGGCTGGCTGAGTATTCGCACCACTCAGGTCTGGAAGGGCGGAGCCTCAGTCTGGGTATGGTCCTTGGTCCTAATCTGGCTGACTGCATTTCTGTTGTTATCTGTCATATGACAAAGCTGAGAAATTTTTAAATATTGATTCACTTAAACTTGTTAGCATATACCTATAGCTACATAAAATTTGTACTGGGGATTGAACTCAGGACCTTCATTCTGAGTTATATCCCAAGCTCTTTTTTTTTTTTTTTTTTTTTGGTTTTGGTTTTGGTTTTTCTCCGGTACCGGGAACCGAACTCACGACCTTGCGCTTGCCAGGCAGGCGCTTTGCCGCTGAGCTAAATCCCCAGCCCCACTCTTTTTTATTTTATATTTTGAGACAGGAACTTGCTTATTTGTGTAGACTGGACTCCAACTTGTCATCCTCCTATGGCCTCCCAGAGTGCTGGTATTGCAGGGGTGCACCACTGCCCCCAGTAATGACATTTTTAAAAATGAAAATGTCTATTTTACTCAGAAAATTGGTGAAAAGAGTAGCACTGTTTTTATGTTTTGGAAAACTTTAACGTGTAGTTTAAAGTAAGACAGATTCTCTCCTTTGCTATTCCATTTCATTGTCATCAAAATGTGTGAAGCAAATCCAGCTTCAAGTAAATATGCAAAGGCTTGCAGAGCTGAAGATACCCTGGAAGGATCCCCTTCTTAGTCACCTCCAGCAGCATTGCAGGTGCTTGTACTTCCGCTTTGCGCAGTCGGGACTACTGCCCTCCATCAGCGCACACAGCTTGCACTGACGTGACCCCTGGGATGTGGCTCTGCTAGACTGGGCTCTGCTAGACTGGGCTCCGCATGGGGTGCGCCCTGCCAGGCCATCTCAAACAGCTGGGCCAAAGCCACCGCCAACGCCTTCCCAACTTCTGAACAAAAGAATTTTTAAAAATTTGGATAGAGTTTTATGGAACTGGGGATGGGAGGAGTAAGATCTAAAATTAGTTTCATTAGATCTCCAGAAGCAGAGAAAAAATAATGTAATTGAAAAATAAATTGAAGAAATGATGACTGAAAGCTTTCAAGTTTGGTGCCTTCGAGATTCAAACACCTAAATAAACCCAAAGAAATCCGAGGTTCTAAGATATTAAAACTAAATTCTATTTACCTGGAATTCTATCTGGAAGGAAATAACTATATCCTATGTAGCAAAGAATCAGAGTACAGACAATTTATTCCATTAACCTTGCAACTCTATTCTTAAAAAGGGTAAAAGTGAAAGAACATGTAGAGATTAAATTCATGGTAAACAAACATGAGTGGGCATATTACCCTGGTTGATCAAAACAGAAGTATAAATTGAAAAACAATTTGGCCATATCTAATAGGGTTTAATGTATCTATTCCAGATGACTGAGTAGTCAGCACTGTTTCTGTTATGACACTGTGAAATATATTTCCTCCTGTTTCCTGTCATACAACTCCTAACATCCTTAGACTCTCCAAAGTG